CAACACAGGTGAGCAGTTGTTATTTTGAGTCACCATGAAGACACACCTCCCAGGACCCACCTGAGTTCTTTCTAGACAAGTGTGCAAACTGCCCGCCGGCCAGAGTTTCACTATTCTTTCGTCAAATGTTGGGAAGGAACAAGTTCTGGATTTAGCAGAACTTAGTTGAATCCAGGTTCTATGACCTGGAATAAGTTGCTTGCCCTCTCTGAGCCTCGTATCATCCTTGGCAAAAATGGAAAGGTGGAGTTATACCTCCCAAATAGTTGATTCCTCAACGACAAACTTTACCTGAGCACCTACCTGTACCAGACACAGTGCTAGGGCCAGGAACACAAAATGACAAAACAGACGGGGTCCCTGGCATTGTGGTGCCCATGCCTGATGGAGGAAGCCCTCGGGTAATAAGACCGAGTCCGATGGTGGCAGTCACGAAAGAAATGAGCAGAGTGAGATGAGTTAGTAATGACCGAGGAGGTTGTTCTGGACACTGTGACCAGGACACTGTGACCCCAAGAGGTGACCTTTGAGCAGAAACCTGAGTGACATGAAGGAGTGGGTCAGGTACAAGGACCACCCCCAAAGCCACACCCGGAGCATAAAGACCCAGCACCTGGGGGTGGGGAATCGAATGACGTTAAAAGCATGTTCAGCTTTAAGAAACAATGGTGATACAGCACCTCTTGTATACTCCTGGATAGAGCTGGAACGCATTCTACTAAGCGAGGTATCCCAAGAATGGAAAGACAAGCACCACATGTACTCACCATCAAACTGGTATTAGTTGATCAACATCTAAGTGCACATATAAGAATAACATGTATTAGATGTTGGGCAGGGGAGGGGGAGGAGGGAGGAGGGGACGGGCATATGCACAAACAATGAGTACGATGCGCACCCCCAGGGGAATGGACACACTTGAAGCTTGGACTTGGGGGGGAGGGAGGGTAAGGGCATCATACGTAACCTAATCATCTGTACCCCCATAACATGCTGAAATAAATAAAAAAATAAATAAATAAAAATAGATTATATTAAATATAAAAAAAAAAAAAAGCATGTTCATTCTTCCTACCTTCCTAGTCATGAGATGAACGGAGACTTGGGGCCATTTCACTCAGGGGTCATGGCGGGGAAGCAGGAGCCAGCCACACTGAGGACCCACAGATGGGGAAATCTGGCCCAGTATTCAAGCCAGAAGCAGTTGCTGCATTCGGTTCACTACAATAAAGGTCACGAAATGTAACCAGCTCTCGAAGGCACATTTAGGACCAGATCAGCTGTCCGGGTGTGCCAACATCTTGGCAGAGGTCCCAGGAAATCAGAGAAGCTCATTTGTGAGGGAAAGGGCCTAAGGAAAGCTCCAGAAAGGTCTAGAGTACCCACAATAGCTGATATGAACCTCCTGTGGGTGGGATCTATTGGGTGGTGCCAGCTCTGAGCAGTTGGTCCCACCAGCCCCACCAGCCCCAGCTCCAGAAGGGACAGACTCAGGGTGGGGTCCACAGAGACCACCCCTGGGGAAGGGGAAAGGGTGCTTCTCATCCAAAACCAGGAAGGAGACCCAAGAGCATCACTGAAAAGGAGCAGAGGCCAGGCGTAGTGGCACACTCCTACAATCCCAGCAACTCAGGAGGCTGAGGGGGGAGGATCACTTGAGTCCAGGAATTTAAGTCCAGCCGGGGCAATACAGGAAGATCCTGTCTCAGTTTTTTAAAAAAGGAACAGAGGAGCCTGTGGGGTAGGAGGCAGGGGGAAGGGGGGACAGAATTTTGCTCCTCATTTAGGTGTCTGCACGACCAGCAGGCAAGGGGACGACCCGGGGCAGAGGCACCGAGCGAATCCCCCCTGCAGGGGCATGCGGAGCCGGCGCTGACCCGCTGTAGGGGTGAGCTACTACAGGGGTCTGTGGCCACCTGCTGCTGCCTCTCCAGTCAAATCGGGAGGTGGCGCTTTGGTCAGTGGGCACATCCACAGGAGATGAGAGGGGACAGAGAACTGATATCTGTCCTCTGCCTTCTCCATACAGCTACAGACACTCTCTTTGTGTTCCAGGAACATCTACTCCCTGGACCCCCACCTGGGCGTGGTGACAGTTCTCAGATGATGCTACCCCCAGGGTGCTGCTCCCTCCCTCATGGTTCCCCTGGACCCTGCCTACACCCTTGGACGTGGCCCCTTCTTAAGACCCCCCGCGCTTTAGCCGATTTGAGGTCTCTGCCAGGACCCAAATGCTGCGTTCCCCCAGGGGATGGGACTTCCCCACAAATTGGTTATGTGGGTGTTGATGTTTGTATAGGAACGTAGGAAAAAGCACTTCTAATGGTTGGAATGGAAGGAGGAGTGGAAAGTAGAATTTTTTTCATAAATGTCTACATTTACCAATTGTTTCCTTTTCTTATGTGAAAGCTGTTTGGTATTTTTAATTATAACTACTAATCTGTATAATTACAAATTACAGTTTTAAAAGAAAGTGCTTAGTGCCACGCCTGACTCCACCTGTGTGACTTGTGAACGACGGAGAGCATCGTAGGTTAAGACCCGGAACACGGGGTGCAGGTTGCTTGGTTCAAACCCCATCTGTGGGCCCCTGAATGAGAGGCACCCAGTCCTTGGCCTCTGCGATCCGCGGGAGCCCCCTACAGCCACACAGTGGGGAAGCCCTGTGGGTCGCTGTCCTTGGTGCTGAAAGGAACAGCCACATCCCCTCCCCTCTGTCTTCCTCTCACTGTTGAAAACCCGCGTGACCTCCACTTCCTGGAACATCTATATGAAAATAAAGTCCAGATCTTGCCTCTATGGCAAAAAAGTAAAAAATTATTTTTAGTTCTAAGCTTTGAACTAGCTCCGCACCATAGACCCTTGCAATTTCTCAGATCTAACTATGGATATTTTGGTTTTGTTTTCGTTTTTGTTTTCTGTAAATTTTTTGTAGATGCAGGGTCTCACTATGTTGCCCAGGCTAGTCTCAAGCTCCTGGCCTCAAGCAATCCTCCCACCCTCAGCCTCCCAAAGTGCTGGGATTACAGGTGTGCACCACCACCACACCCTAACTATGGATACTTTGAATTTACTGAATATTCTAATGAATGTTTTTCAACAGCAGGTTACCACATTTCCCAAAACTTAAAGTTACCTTTTGTGACATAAAAACATTTCAAAATTAAAATTGCAATGCAAAAAGTACAGAGAGGGAGGAAATTAGCCCTCGTGACCTTAATTCTTAACATATTTGGCTCCTATGTTATATATACTGGCTTGTTCAATCATCAGAACAGCCCAATAAGGTGGATACTATCAGATAGTAAAAGAACTGAAGCTTAGAGAGATAAGAAGTTTTCCTCAAGCCAAGCAGCTAGTAAATACAGACTGGGATTCTGACCTTGGCAGTACAACTCCATGGTGATGTGGATTGTCTTAGTCCATTCAGGCTGCTAATTGTAAACTGGGTAATATATAAACAATAGAAACAATAGAAATGCTCACAGTTCAGGAGTCTGGGAAGTCCAATATAAAGGTTCTAGCAAATTCAGTGTCTAGTGAGAGCACATTCCTTGTAGATGGCATCTTCTTTGTGTCCAGCCATGGTGGAAGGGGCAAACAAACTCTCTTATGTCTCTTTTTTAAAGACATTAATCCCATTTATGAAGGCAAAGCTCTCATGACCTAGTCACCTCCCAAAGGCCCCTCATCTCAATACTACCACCTTGGAGGTCAGATTAAAAGGCATGAATTTGGGAGGGACACAAACATTCAGATCACAGTATGGATTCAGGATCATCTCACACTGACTGCATCTACCTAGCTGCCCCATCTTCCCTAAAGAGCGGTCCTTGTCCTCATGGTCCAAAGGGACCATGGACAAGTGGTTTGAGGCGAAGGAAAGGGAGGTTTATTACTTTCCCAGAAAATGAGGAAAATGGTAGACTCCCATCTTAAAGCACCAATTTTCCTAACCACAAGCAGAAATACAGAGCTTTTAAAGGAAAGGTTTGCAGGTTTGGGCTATTGCTGTTTAACTATAGTTGACGGTTCTGATCCAACCCATCTCAGGTGAAGACAATCTCGTGATCTCCACCCAGACCTCCACCAGAACAGTTCCACTGGGCCATCTCCTGTGGTACAAAGAACAAAGGACATTCCCCTGTCCCTCCTGACCACCAGCCTGATGCAGGCATGCAGGTTTTAAATCCCAAAAAGAATGAGGGAAGTTTTAAAGAGACAGCTCATAAAACATTTTTGCCCTTTTTAAGGCCGTTCCCTCTGTTACACTGTCCCATGTGGAAAAGTCAAAGATTAGGTAATGATTCTGGTAACCTTCCTTAAGAGAAAACTGGGACACTCTCACTCTCAAGTCTTCCCCTTCCTGCTTCCTGCTGCTTGCAAGATAAGATGGGTGTGGTATCTGCAGCTCAGCAGCTCAAGGCTGCAGTGGGCTATGATTCTGTCACTGAACTCCATGGGGGAAAAAGCTGGATGCTTTTCCAATTCCTTATAGGAATAAATGACATGAAAAGAAAATTAAAAATGACAAAGACACAATTCAAATGAAAAACAAAAACCTAAAATATATATAAATTATATTTTCACACTAGGGGCATTTCTCAATTAAGAAAATGGAAACTCTCTTTTAATGGCCTCATGATGAGAGGGGAAACGTCAAAGCCCAGGGGTGATGCAAAGAGGGGAATTTGAAATAAGACCCTAGTTGCTTAGGTGGAACCCTCAAAGGGCTCCATCTCTCAGGGTGAAAGAGCCTGAATGTGTGATTTCAGCTTAAATTTAAACTGCCTTAGTGACCTTGCACCCCACAAGCCTTGAACTTCATTTAACATAATTCAAATTCTACAAATATTATTTCAAATATGACAGCCAATACCCAGCCAAAGATAACCAGGCAGACAAAAAACACTGACCCCATGAATGAAAACCAGCAAAAAAACGACAGGCAATATAATAGACACAGATGCCACAATGATCAGATACACGCTATAAAGCAACCAGGCTTATTATGTTTAATAAACATAGTATTTTAGTAACCATAGAAACACAATGAAGAAACCTTAGGAGAGAAAAGACTGGGTGTTTCAGATCAGACATGAGGTCAAGGTAGGGGAAGTGTAGTGCCTCTGTGGGTTTGCTTCTGTGACTCAGAGCCTCAAACTTGCTTCTTATGTCCCTCCTTAATCCTGGTCCTTCTCCTGCTCAAATACCTCCCAGGGCTGCCTATCGCCCACAGAAAAAAAGTCCATCCTTGGGCTCTGGAAGAACCAGCCATCAGCGTGGGAGCCCTGTGTTCAGCCAGAGAGTGAGTCAGGCTCTTGGGCTCAGGGACACCCCGCCCCCACCAGTCAGTCCCACCTGCAGGTGCCTGCGGTCCCCGCGCGCCCCCTGCTGGCTCTGGGTGAGGCTCAGGCACAGGTGACAGCGGTTTTATTCCTGGGCGTCTGCAAAGGCAAGTGGGAGGCTCGGAGTGCGTCTTAAGCCTACAGCGGTGGGTCATTGGCGGCCGGCGCTCAGCGGCTCCACCCGCAGCCAGAGGCCGCCCTCGGCTCGCAGGACGATTTCTGGCTTCCTGCGCGGCTCCCTGTCGTCGGGCAGGACGCGGAAGCGCAGCAGCGTGAGCGCCAGGACCACCTTCATCTCCGTCATGGCGAACGTCTGCCCGATGCAGTTCCTGGGGGTGGAGGTGGGGACAGTGACGGCACCCAGGACTCCCAACCGGGCCCCATCGCGCCTGGAACCCGGCCCGGGACCCCCACCCTCACCCTGATCAGCGTGGAGGGCAGAGGCGGGAGGTAATGCTGCCTGGGACCCCCGTGGGCTTGTATATCCCCCCAAGCTGGCTCAGACTCCAGCCCCCAACTCAACCGGCAGACAGGGGAGAAGGTCTGAGCACGCCACAGTTGCAGACATGGGCGGGCTCTGATGAGGCCACTACCTGGACCACCCTCCTCCCGCCCATGCCTCAGACCCCCGCGGGCCTCACCTGGGCCCTGCTGAGAAGGGAATAAACGCCAGAGGTGACCTCTTCTGGGGGTTTTCTGGGTCGAAGCGGAAGGGGTTATAGACCTGGGACGGGGCAAGATAGAGCTGCTGAGTGGGGTCTCTCAGGAATCACAGCCACCCCCAGAAAAGACAGATGTGGGCACAGTAGAGGGAGTGTCTGATTTCCCCAGCCAGGACCCCTCCCCCTCACCAGGTCCCAGGATGGAGAAGGGGGAGGGGCAGCACCTCAGGGTCCGCCCAGACCGACGGGTTGTGATGAATCCCAAAGATGCTGATGACACAGCCGCTCCCTGTCGGGAGGAGGGGACAGTCAGGACAAGGTCCAAGCTGCCTGATGGGACCACCACCCCGCCCAGGAGCCTCCTCCCCCTTTCACTGTGGGCACCTTTGGGGATGACCCGGCCATCTGGGAGCACAACGTCCTTGGTACAGCTGCGGGAGATGGCAGTGACTGGGGGATGCAGCCGCAGACTCTCTTTGATGCACATGGTGAGGAAGGGCAGCTGGGCCAGGTCCTCCCTAAGGAGCACCCCCAACAGTTATCCAGGGAGCAAACACAGCCCTACTGCTGCCCGTGAGGCCCTCTCACCTCCTCCCTCTGACCCTGAGTCATACAACAAAATTAACTCCAGAGGAATAAAGGACGTAAGCATCAGAAAATCAAACTCACAAGAGTACTAGAAGAAAACTTGGCCTGGTAATTTTAGCAAAATAGAAGTAAAAGCAAAACACAAGTAAAGGGTATCCTTAAAAGTACTAACGCATCTGCATGAAAACATTTTAAAAGTTATAAAATAAACTAACAAAAGCAGGGGTGAGGGGAAATCTCCAAGAGGGCTTATAAGTTTATTTGAATAAGTAAAGTTCACTTCACACCCTAGGGTGGGATGGCCTAATATTATAAAAGTATCAATTCTTTCTAAAATAATCAATATATTCAACACAGTCCAACAAATATCAAGCTGCATTTTTCTTTAGAATTTGACATCCTTGTTCTGATTGCAAGAAACAGGCCTTGGCTAGAGTTAGGTCTATTTAAAAATAAAAGATCAAAGAAAGGAAGCACAATCCACCAGATGTTAACACCTATCACAAAGGCATTGCATTATAATAAAAACGACATAAAGCAATCTTTTTAAGTCTGTGGTACTGTTACAAGAACAGAAGAACAGGTCCGTGGAACAGAGTAGAGAGCTTTCCGTCAGGCACGTGATAGGTGAAAACTTAGCATCTCATAAAGGGGGGTCCACACGCCCCTGGGCAATGGAGACTTTGGTGGAAGGTGTTCAGACAGTTGGCAATGTGGAAACCAAAAGACCAGATGCTTGTCTACTCTGTATACAGGGTGGAGTCCCTTCCTAGATGAGAAAGGTAAAACTACAAAGTTAAAAGAAGATAACATAAGAGATATTTTTGTGACCTAGGAGTAGGAATTCTTTTTTTTTTATTTTTTTATTTCAGCATATTATGGGGGTACAGATGTTTAGGTTACGTATGTTGCCCTTCCCCCCTCTCCCCCTCTAAGTCCGAGTTTCAAATATGTCCATCAGGAGTAGGAATTCTTAACACTCCAAAAGCACCAGCAGAAAGATTGAAAAAAAAAGGGACAGTATACATGCAAATTTAGAATTTCTGTGCAATAAAAGAAACCATGGACCAAATTACATTCTGGTGAGAGATTCAGAGGAGATATTTACCATAAGTATATAGATCTAGAACAATGTCTTGAATAGGTAAGATATTCCTGCAAATCAACAAGAGAAAGGACAGGTAAACCAACAGGAAAGAATATGACCCAAGAATTCATGGAAGCCCAAATATGAGATATATTAGGAGGTGCTCAAAGTCGCGTGTTATCAGGGAAACGAAAATAGTCTAACGATGACACGTCACGTCACAACTGTTCGAGGCAAGAGTTAGCAAGGAAGGTAATCCTAAGGGTTAGCTGAGGATGGGGTAGAGGAATCTCAGACACTGAAAATGGTGTAGACAGGAGCTGCCATTGACCATGTGTGTTTTATGGTCCAGCAAGCCGGCTTCCACGTATAGATCCCAGAGAGATCCTCAGACACAGAGATAAAGAGACATGTACAAAGATGTTCATTGCACCGGAGAGACGGAAGCATCCAAGGGACCCAGCACTAAGGGTGGGAGAGGAAAGATTTATAGGATGGTTTAAAGCAATAAACTAATCGTGCTCAGAACCACGAATGGCTGATAAAGTCACACTGCTCCATTTCTGAAAATTTTAAGAACCAGCACAAGATCTGTGATGTAGCAACATATCTGGAATTTTAAATGCATCCACCCCAACAGCAAATTTTACAAATAAAAGGCTCTGTCTCTCTAGGATCATACTGTTGCAGGGCTGGAAGTGGGGTATTGGGATTAAATCGGAAGAAATAAGAATTGCATGGAAAAATGAGAATGGACCATGAACAGAGGAGTATGGTAAACTCTCCTCTTGACAGCTGAGGTCAAAAAATTAATTAATTAAAAGTTTCGAGAGTATTTTTCAAACCGGTAAACCTGATTATAGAGTTCAAATGGAAAAGTAAGAACTCAGAGAATATTGTAAAAGCAAACTAATGATGCAGGACCACCTTGATCAAATAAGAAAATGTTTTTTAAAATGTGATAACGAAGACTTCTTGGTGCTTATGTATGACTAATAAATAAAAGGCATGAAGTGGAATCCAGGAGCAAACTCAAATTTAGCTTATTGTGAATCTGCTACTATTTAAAATCATAAAACAAGTACAAAATAGTCATTACATTCTTTTGAGATAATGCATTAGCCATTTTGAGAAAAAAATAGATTCCTACCTCAGTACTTATTCCAACATAGATTTCATAGGGGAAAGATATTCAATATAATCAATTAATAAAATGTTAAATAAAATATTTTTAAAATACCATTACAGGAAAACACACAAGAATTTTACATTTTATTATTAGAGTGTGAAAGCTTTTCCGAGCATGATTTTTTTAGGAAAAAAAAAACCCAGAAGCTATAAATGAAAGAAAGAATTGATAAATTTGACTAAAAATAAGTGAATCAAACCAAAATAAATAAGGCAAAACCAAATATACAGTCAAAGACAATCCAAGGAAGAATTTTGTATAATGGAGAAAAGAAATAATTTTCTTAATATGTAAAGAGATCTTATAAATTGCTAAGAAAAAAAAACTAGAAAACCCCAAAGAAGGGAAAATTAAGCAAACTGACACTTCACAGAAAAAGAAAACTACACGGTGAACACAATACTCAACTTTACTCATATTTAAAGTGATATTCATTAAAATAGCAAAGTCTTATTTTGCACTCATTGGATTGGCAGGTGGTTTAAAGTTTCGTAGAGCAAACTGGTGGGAAGGATACGAGGAAACAGGTATTCTCAGAATCTGTGTGTAGGAGCAGATTTTCCAAGAGCTACTGAACTATAAAACTCAAGTGATCTTTGATTCAGCAACTGTACTTCCGGGATTTTGTTCTTCGAAGGTGCTCACACGTGTAAGCCATGGTCAGTGTACATGGATGGTCACTGCATCGTATCTCTTACAGCAAAAGGCTTGGAACTATACAAATGTCCATCAAATGGAGAAATGTTTTGAGAAATGATGGTACATCCATATAATGGAATCTTATACAACTAGCAGAAAGGAGGAAGCAGAGATCACTAGTCCTGTCACAAACTGGAGGCTAAATCAGTACAGAGATACTAACAGGCGCTTTGGCAATATCTATTATAATTGAAAATGTTTACATAAACATCCTCGACAGGGGCGTGAGCTGGGTAAACTGAGGACTGGTACATAGCACTCAGAAAGGAGGAGCTCCAGGACACACGTTGAGTGAGAACAAGTGACAATATATACATATATATACGTAGACTATATTGCCAAGAGAAAGGTCTAGAAGGGCTTATGACAAACGAAACAGGTGATTAGGCTTGAAGGAGAGGATAACAATGGTGAATTTAATCTTCCCTGTAATGTTTCATTGTGTAAAAACGAAAAATAAAATCATTCCTGTGACTGTCTTTTCAAATCAAAACTAATTTTTCAAAACTTCATATTGGAAAAAACTAAAAATATCTTAAAGCTTTATTGTCATGTGCATACCTGAGCACTCTGTGTATACTCCTAGTTGTGCAGAAACAGAGAGGGTGCAAGAATGCACCAGAGGAGAGAGACCCAGCACACGAACGTGGGTAGAGACGGAACACTGTCTGGGAGGACACAGGAAGCCATGAGGGCAGGAATGGGGTTGGGATGCTGGCACAAGATAGAAGCTTATATTCGTCGTAACCCTTTTGTACTGTCTGAATATTTACCAAGTGCATAATTTTTTGAAGTTGAGGCCAGCACAAAACCAGGACAGCTGTGCTGAGCAAAGCCTCGAAGTCCATGGCAATACCTCCAAAACGTTTGTCCAGTCCAACATCTCCTCTCCATCCCTCAGGCCCTGGACCAGAATCTATCCCCTGGACTCACAGCTCCCAACTCATCCCCTCCAGTTTTCCCCCTTGTAGCCACAGAAGGATATTTCTGATACCGCGATCTGACCTGGACCTCCC